AATATAACCCTGTATGTCTGATCTTAACACACTAGGGTTACATAGGATTAAAGGTAAGGATAAGCGAGTGCCTTTGTACGAGTTAATAGTTAAATCACTAAAATAATTATATTATCTAGTTAGAAATACTTACTTACTTACTTACTTATCTTCACGCACAATCCCTGACGGGGTAGCCAGAGAGAACAGATCGCCAAGTGTCACGATCCTTACATACCTCTTTCGCTTCTTTCAGATTCATTATCTTCTTCATACATGCACGTCTAGGTATCCGAGTACTCTTGACCCTACCCTCTTCGAGCAATTTGCTCACATGGTCTTCGAAAGTTAGTCTCGGTCTACCTCGACACCTTTTAATATTAACTTTCGCGCTATATATTTTCTTCACCATTCGGTCTTCACTCATTCGCTCAACGTGCCCAAACCACCGAAGCACGCCCTTATCAATTTTTGTGATAAGGTCATCTTTCAAACCTGCCATATTGCGAATCTCTTCGTTTCGCTTTCGGTCGGCCATGGTAACGCCGCACATTTTACGAAGAGATCGCATCTCCACTGGTATCTAGTTAGAAATGTCTATGAAATAGGTCTGCAGGACATAATTAGCTATCTTCTGATCTTATTCAGAAATGAAATGAACAGTATTCAGTTCATTTAAAATTACTTATTATCTTATATTAACAACAAAATTGTAAAGGCCAAAATAATATGCAACACACATGTAAAGATAAAAATGACAGTGACCATGGCCCATAAAGCGGAGAATTATCGGGAATATATAAAAATAAGTATAATAAACACCATAAAATCAGTGTAATTTAATTTATTTAAATGGAGATATTTAACGAAACTAAATAAGTAATTATAAGACTAGTTTAAGTGCCATCGATGTGACATACCATACATTAATGACTGTGTCAGCCGATAAATCATATAGGCTAAATAATTATGAGAACTATCTAAAAAATCTTCTCACGGCGTCTGCGATGTGGTATGACAAGAACAATGATTCGTTTCACACCTGCGTGACAACCGATAAACTGCTAGAAGTAGGAAGATCAGTGTGAGATTGTTTTTGTCTGCTTTTCCATTCTTAATTAGTTTAATACGATGTATAAAAATAGTTCTTAACGCGCCGTATAACCAAATAAATAACTAGACAAATAAATACACTGCGACTGACACAATGGAATCACTAGTTTAAAAATACACTATAATATGCTGAAAGTAATAAGAGTATAGAAGAATATTTTTTGTGGTAGAGAAGGCAAATGAGCATGTGGCTCACCTGATGGTAGGTGACTACCGCAACCCATGAATAACTGTAACACCAGGAGAATTGCAGGTGTGTTGCCGGCCTTTTAGGAAGGAGTAGGCTCTTTTCTTGAAGGTTCCTATGTCGTATCGGTCCGACATTATACTGATATAACCACTAGTAATATCTTAGCATAAAGTATAATGAATAAAAACGAGTTTTTTAATATTCTATTTCAATATGCAGAAATCATTGCATAGTTAATATAAGCAAATTAGAATAGCCCGTTAAAGTGAAAGCAATAACAGAACATATCTATGTACAACAACTAAACGACGTAACCTTGTATGAACGTAATTCATCAACGCATCACATAGCTCATGAATGAGCGCGGGCATCATTGACATCGACGCCAGCGATCGCCAACGACTGACAATTAAAATTCTTGCAATTAAATTTCATTACAGTACATGCCATTAAATATCTCACTCCTCTATCCGTTTATGATGAGCTTCTTCATTATAGCTTTCTACCTTTGTCACAAATTAACGATTCCATAGCAGTTATTAAAACGAGTTATTGTAATGAGAGAGTGAGAAATAAATTTAAGTAAATTCACCTTTACCAATATTAAAATTGGAATTCTCACGCCAACCATCACGAAGTAAGTGTGTGTGTGTGTGTGTGTGTGTGTGAGTAATTACAATCAAGAATGTGGACGACACTGACATAGTCCACTTCACTTCGTAACAAGCCGCGTAAGAAACGAGTTCGTTAAAAATTGATTAGAAACATAATTTTGTTACTGATAACTTAACAACATTATTACATAATTAAAGAGGCGTGATAGCGAAAACAAAATGTAAAAACGAACTTCAACTATCAAAGATTTAAAATTAAATGACAAAATACACAGTAGAGTAGATCTCTTTATTGGAAAAATTATTGTAAAACAAATAAAAGGTTTAAGTCAAGCAATCAAAGATCAATACCAACTCACGATGCACACTAAAATAATTATATTATGAAAAAAGTGGTCACTGAAGACAATGGTCTTCTCGACATCTCTCCGTCAGCGAAATTAAATACTTGAAATTGTCATCTGAGGAGAGCAGCACTTGCGGATATCTCGAGAGTTCACGGTGCTGGACGACTTTGCCACGGCCCGATCGCTCACCACCAAGAGCACTATATCAATCACTTCACAATCGTACCGCATGCCACTTAAATAAATTTATAACATATTAAGTACGTTGAAAATAAACACTTTACCGTTTATGATTTATTTCGTGCGCGGATGAATTATGGACGTCGCTTATTAAAGTGTTCTAGAGCGAGAGGTCCGAATTTTTATCTCTTTTTGTAGCGATTTCACGTGCCACCGCTACCGATAAACGTTTTATTGGAGTAATTAAAACTGACGATTAGCGTTTGTACGTGTTACATGTGTGAAGTCATGACTCATGATAAATGTGACATTTTACAATGTAATCGCGCAATGATATTTTTATTGTACTATCACTAACTGTCAACCGATATTGGCAGTACAATGATACAAAATTTATTTGTCTCCGAGCTACGCAAAGTTCTACAAATAAACAAACCTGACTCAATGTTAAAGCATATAAATTATAACAAGTGGTCAGTTCCATGACTTCTGCCGGCAACATATCTGTTCCAACTATCACGCCCTGACCCTGGGGGTCATGACTGTCCACATTATTACGGCTATAAATACAATTGAATTTCATTAATTAGCTTGCAGTGAAGTCTTTGACTGATAACGTATCATTAACTCTACTTTCTATATAATAACAATAAAGAGAAAAATCGTAAACACCCCGCAGCAAAGTTACTTCCGCCAGCAAAATTATTGTTAGCCATTTTAATGTCGGTGAAGACGTCAAAGTTGTTTTTTAAATTGCCTGCTACCGCAACATGTCAACGCCTATTGAGCCTATTGTGTCTGAAAAAAGGAGAAAACCCACTAATATATTGCGGTATAATAATTTTATAAGAAAATTACATAGCACTCGATTGTCGGTTTGTGTCCAGATTACCTGTTACCTGTTCCACAAAGCCCGAATTGTTATAAAATGACTCCATTTAAAAGGTCTTTTTTGTTGTTGAAATAATAGTTGTTACTACGTCGATTTACGTTATCATATTATTATCGGAACCGCATAATGAAATATTGGTTAAATGCATCACTTTGAGTACGTACTCGTACTTACTTTCCGAATTGTTATATGTATTATGAAATAGTTCATTAATTTTTGATTAATATAAGAGTACGTTTAAGTTTTTTTTATATAGGATAAGGGTGACAAGCGAGCACACACCACACAGTCCACCTGATGGTAAGTGGTTGCTGTGAACCATAGACATCTACATATATCCTCGTTTGCGAATAAATGCGTTGTCAGCTGTGAGGACTAAGATGAAATGACTCTTTTCCAGTAAAAAGGGTCCCCGGTTATCTATACTCACCAAACGAAACACAGCAGCATTAAACTGCTATTTTACGCTGGTATTCAAAATATTGTTATTTTATGCTATGTATCCTGTTATAAAATAAAAAAGTTAACAAAATATACTTTAATAGATCATATGGATGGACTTACAAAAATGTGTATAATATGTACTATTACTTGTAATATTGTCTATTTTATGTTTTCAAGTGATTTTAACGTGTAAAGAAACCGATTCGATTCCGTGTACGAAATTCTTATAAACACCATAAGAAAATTATTTTTAGAGTATAAAAAGGCCGTATGACTTCGAGCAACGCACCTGTCCCCATTATCCAGCAATAACAATATTAAAAAGAAAAAAATGCCACCAAATGCGAATGGTACTCATGCACTTATTTATATTTTGTATGTTGTCTATCCTCTTAATATTGTTTTAGATATCTATAAAATTAATTGACTTATGAACTCGATCTATGCTTATGATTTTGCGTTATAATCATTATATATTTTGCGATGTTTGCATTATATATTAGGCGTTATTTAAACTTCAGAAGCGTATTCAAATAAAGGTTTTCATCTTAATATATTATTAAAAAAATAGAAGACTACGTTTGTTTTTAGATCACTTCAAATGGCCTTGGATTACCGGATAGAAAAGCAAACGGACGTTTAACAATATAAAAATGTCGCTCGCACAAAATGGCGACAATAAATCATCGTTAGCAATTCCTTCGACGTAATGCTTTAATAACTATAAAGCGTAGGTAATTAGCAACGGTAAATCTCTGGGATTGGATTGTAATCGTGGGCGTTTCGATTATTGATTGTTTACGCGTTTCCCCGTTTCGCCATTCGCAGTTACCGATTCCGAATGAAGCACTCGCTTGTTTGTACGCAAATTTGAACGCGGGCTAATTTAACTCCGTATCAAACGATTGGAATTGATTCGTTACATTTTTATATTTAATTTCAGATAAGCCAGTTAATGATGCGCTTATTAATTACGCAAAATGAAAATACTGGTCTATTATAGTTCTAGATTATGGAAATGAAGAAAAAATTAACATGGCAAAAGTATTTCGGCACTTGCAGCCACTATAATATAGAATTAGTATACTCCTATTTTTATAAAATGCATCCCAAATTCCGCATTTACTTAGGAGCCGTATAAAAAGGTCCAGCAGTTGATTTGCAAAGGACGAGGATGAACTTACTTAAGTGTCTTATAAAAGAAAAAAAAACATACAAACCAAAGAGAATTGACCACGTACCTGTTTGCTAAAAACAGCGATGTCCTCGTTAAAGGATTCTGAGGAGCAGACATCTCCGCCGGCCACGCCAGGGTCCCGCGGGGTACATGTGGCTAGCTCGCACTTTTCAAAGATCAGCGCCAGCAGGGGAAACAAGGGGTGCCTGAGAAACATACAAACCACTGTAGCAATCTCCACAATAATCATTAGTTTAGCTTTCCTTTTCAGTAAAAAGTTAAATATAAATAAACAATTAGTTATATTTTATCTGTGTATATTAACATCCACCATTCTTTTAATGATTTACGCGGATCTTATAGGTAATCAAATTAATAGAAAACATTGCCATTGTATCAAAACAAACTATTGACAACCAGGTCAACTTTAATGTCAAAAAGTTGACAAATTAAACAAACTATAAAGCATAAAATATAAATAAACTTTTATTATACAAGAGGCTTATGTCACTCTTCATTCTGCCTATCAGTGATCATTAGACGTTTAAAAACCTCACATATTATGTGCAATTTAGGCACTCCGTTCTTGTTTAGTTCGATTAAAACAGAAATAGTGGTTTGGCGACACAAAGCGCTTTAAAGCGATCACAAAAACGCTCAAAACACAAAAGCGGTAATTGAGACGGGCCACAAGAAGACTCGATCCTCGCGTGCCCGATGCTCGATAAGATGCAGATTGTTCCGACGTGACGGCGATATCATCATCACTGTACAATTGCGCCGTGATGTGTGGAGTCGCACTGCGAGCGTTCGGGCCGGCCTTTGAAACCTACTGAGAATTATTCATAGATAAAAATTGAGAGTTTTATCCGAAACATTAAATAAATCAGACGTTTGTTACGTTGCGTGGGTAATTAATGATTACTGCTTATAACTTGACAAAATTTTGTAGTTCACAGCATTTGTTGAGTGAGTTTGTAATTTGACTGATGATCTTGAGCTCTCAGGTTCGAATTCCGAGTCGGGTCAAAATATTGGGTTTTTCTGACAAACAATTCTCAGTAGTGGCCTGAAGTCAGGAAGTTGGAGATGTTATACCCCCGTGCCTCGGAAAAGCACGTAAAGCAGTTGGTCCTGCGCTTAATCTCTCGGTATAGCGTCCTATCGGTATATGAGAGTGGCGAACAGAGTATGCACCGGTGCTTGCGCACGGTGCATTGTGTATACTCAGGCACTTTAACCCTGTCCTGCGCTGATGGCTAGTCTTCGTTGAAACTTGCCGCCGTGGCAAAACTTCGGTGTGTAGGACATTATTTTCGTCTCCCAGCTGTGACGATTTATTATAAAAAATGGTAAAATTGTCTTTAAAGTTAGCAGACAAAGGGAAAGGTTCTTTAGATTATAGAATGTGCGAAATTCATCGTAAATCTGACCGCTTTCTAAGTAAATGTGGTAATTTATGGCAACATTGCAGAAAACTAGCCAACTACATTGAAATAAAATCCTCTTAAGCGCAGTTCTAAGAACACAAAAGTCAAAAACCTTCCAACGCGTGTTTCGTTTCGCAACGACGTTGTTTCAGTTCGACTCAGAGTTTCCCGAGAACGAACAGTTTCTAAGTAGGCAATAAGGGTTATCGCCTGTTGGAGGTCTTCCAAGCGCATGTTATTATCACATTAATATCAAACAAAGAACACATTTATGTGGAAAGACATTATTCTTTCTATTCTCCAAAGCCTACACAGTATTTGTCAGACCTTAATACATTTATGTAATAGAAAAAAAAAATAGATACGAAGTTTTCTTCGAAAGTCCACTGCTGAACATAGGACTCCCTCATAGATTTCGCCATAGGAAGGATATATGCCACAGTTTAGTTTCCCTCTGTCGCCTCATATACGGCACCAGTATTTAGTAACATGAAAATAAAACGAACCATTTTATTGTTATTAACAAATATAATACATCAAATGCTTTGTCATAATGTTTTTATCAAGGCATAACTCATTTGTGACAAAGGTGCGTGTTTTTTTTTAATCAAAACAATAGAAATGAAAAATTAATATGCGTTGCCTGCATAAAGAGCATAATGGTTTTCCTTGTTATTCAAAGAGTACAAACTTTTAAAAAAAACCGCTCATACAACGGCCCGAAGGCGAACAGACAAGAATACGATAATATAATTCTTTAATTGCATTTACTTCTATAATGCAAAACCACAGCGCGCAAAAAATACGAGCGATGTGAATAAGTCGATTACAGTAACGATTAACCTTTAAACAATGCGAAGGGAAACACTAATATCGTAAGGGCGAGGCTCCGTAGCAGCGGTTACGGTGCTGGGTACAACGCCAGGTCGTTAATGAGCGCTACTCAAACCAATGAAAAGAAACAAAGAATTTTATAGGTTATAATTACATAAGCTTAAAACTCGCGCCAAAAGAACACTTTTTTTTTCTTAACTACAATGAAGACAAGACATTCGATATATAGAGGCTATATTAATTTATTCAGCGTTTGAAATCCTGATCAAAAACAAATATTTTCTTTAAAATAAACGACACAACGTTTTGTATATCACATCTCCTCGTTGTCACTCGGGCCACTCCTTTCGCAGAAGCTCCTCGAACTTTCTTGACAACTTTTGATCTGATAAGCTTTAAGATCCTCGTAAACGGACTTAAAGCGTTAAACAGCGCACCTCAGATTATTAATCTCTACAAATGTCAGAAAAGTATTAGCTCTTAAAATTTGTGCGTAAAGAGAACTGTATTGGCCGATTTTTTCTTAATAGACGTAAGGTAGATAAACGAACACATGCGTGGTAGAGCCACGCTGCAGCTCCATTAGCTATTGTAGCATGAATGGACCGGCTCGATTGAGAGGGGGCCACGCTCTCACAGAATACCAGCGTAAAATACCAGCTTAATGCTGCCGTGTTTCGTATGGTGAGTGTAGAACACCACAGACACTTTTAACTGGAAATGAAGCATTCTCATCATTCAGGGTTTATCCTTAAGGCATTATGAGTGTATATAAGTAAGAAAAATAATGTTCTACGGTAATTTCTTTTGTAAGCAACTTTTAAATTTGCACTAAGCAACCTACACGTAGATTTGACTTTACATAAGTCATGTTATCATTTACCAGTAATTTATTTCTGTTATTATTTTTATTGTTACCACCGTGGTATTTTAAGAATGAATCACACCGCCCATTTTACACTACTATACGATAGAATTTTATAGTAATTACTTACTAATACCTAATTCGCTGTGTTCACAAATAAACAAATAAACAAATTTGAATTAATTTTGTAAAGAATATGAGGTCTTTATAATAAAATTTCGTTCTAAAATTGTGATAGATAACTAAAAATACTTTAACATAACCTGTTACTAGATAAGAAATATAGGTAGGTCAACATTTCGGCTACCGTGCGTACTGTATCTGATAGAAATAAAGACGATTAAGGCGTCAAAAACATCTGATAAGAGGAAGATTAAGCAGTTGTTATGACGACCAACATAATTAAATAGATAAGGCAAGATTGTCAGAATATTAAAATCGCCATGATTGCACTTTAACATTACTGACACGTGCAATAACTTCTAAAATGGCGAAGTAAGTGTTTTTTATGTATTCTGTTACATGACCACTATTACTTGATAGAAAGTGGTGATGCAACCGAAGATGGTAAAAAGCACTGACTTAACAAAATCCTATTCACTCTTGCCATCATTTAAATTTACTCTGGTTAGATTTGTATCTACTCTTAGATCTCCTCTCGCACAATAAAGGGAATATTTAATTCGCCTGATGGTAAGTGAATGCTATAGCCCATAGACATCTAGATCTATCTACAGAATCAAAATACAGATGCGTTGTTATCCCTGAGGATTAAGATGGAACACCTTGTTTCCAGTAAAAAGCGTCTACCGTTCTCTACACTCACCACACGAAACACGTGTTAAGCTACTATTTTACGGTGGGATTCTGTGAGAGAGTGGTCGACTGTAAAATCTATGTCATTTCTACCTACTATGGCATTCCCTATAGTCGCCTCTTACGACAACCACGGGATGAGCACGAGGAATGTTCTTACCACGTCATCGTCATTATATTAGAAGGATACAAAGCACACGTTACCACCAGACTCACCCGTATATGGCGTCCTTGTCGCGCTTGTGTACGAGCGGTTCCCCGGGGAGTGCGTGCGCGGGCGCGGCGGGCGGCGGGTAGTGCACGGGCGGCAGGTGCGGGTGCGTGAGCCGGTGCTCGTGGTACATCGCGCCGCCCTCCATGTAGCCCCCGCCGTGGAGGCTCTCGTCGTACTGCAAATGGTAACATAGAATACAATCATTTTTATTCAATAATAATAATAATGTGTTTCTTACGCGGTAGAGCCATGCTGCAGCTATATTAGTAGTAGGTATAGTTATGGCACGAATGGGTCGGCTCGACCGGGGAAGGACCATGCTCTCACAGAATACCAGCGTACTATAACAGCTTAACACTGCTGTGTTTGGTATGGTGGGTGTAGAGAACCGGAGACCCTTTTTACTGGAAACGAGGCAATACTTCTTAGGTGACGGGTGACAACGCATCTGCATTTTGATTCGTAATCGAGAATAGATGTAGGTGTTTATGGGCCGCAGCAACCACTTCCCATCAGGTGGACTGTGTGCTCGTTTGTTACTCTTATCCTATAAAAAAAATGTGCTCCAAACCTATTCCGGTCAGGGCGGCCGAGGACAGGGTTATGGTGGCTAAGTGTTTGCTTAGTAAAAAATTTAAACTTTTTGATAGATAAGTCCTGCTGCAACAAGTCCTTGTCCGACTAGGCGTCGGTATGGGTGGGCACATAGTTGTTATGCTATAATAACACGCTGTGAGGCATTCCATTTTAGTCCTAAAAGTTTCCCACCTTTGACAAACTTCTTTCATCAGGTGGATTGTATGTTCGTTTGTGAATTTAATTTTGTAGAAGAAAATTGCAACCAGCACTTATACTATGATTTTAATACAAGTAGAGATGACGAGCACTCAGTCCACTGCTAAACGAATGCCCAGAGACACCTATATCCATCCTCTATTAACAATCCAAATGCTTTGTCACCCTGATGAACAAGAATGGAATAAAATACAAAACACAACAGCATTATGCTGCTATTTCACGCTAGAAGTCTATGATAGCAATGTCTAATCCCAATTCAGCCGACCCATTCCCATTCTTGCTGTGTAATATAGCTATTTTGTAGCTCTATCAAGTTAGCCCTTAAGCTTGTTAAGGGTTACCATCAGCCGTTATCTCATCAATCTGAACATAGTCCATGGTTGGACATAAACAAGTCCAAGGATAGTTTTCCACAATTGCCAAGCTTGGCAGGCGGATTGCAGACGTCTCATACCTTTGAAACTGCTTCCTGTCGCCGATCTGGATATTTTAATACTGGCGTTAGTTATAACGCCATCTATTGAAAACCACGAGAATTAAGTACAGAGTAATGTTACTTACATTACTCTATACTTAATTCTCGTGGTTTTATCATCATTTCTTTTGTAAGACGAAATTAAGTAGCTACATTGTCGTAACTAGTTTAGTTACTCTGAAACTAAAATCTAATTATTCATGTAGGCAACACGAATTATAATCAGTTTGTTTAATTTTTAAAAATGGCCGAGACAGTGTAGATGTTATCTTACCGATTATTTATTAACCAAAGCAAAAAACTAATTTTCTTAAACACACGAAACGTACGCTTTAAATTTTTATTACAGTTACCTTACGTCATTTTTCACTAAGCACGTTAATTTTTTTTTTCTTTTGATATAGTAAGTTTTTTAATGAAGTAAATAAAACTAGTATGTATCACGTCTGGTATAAATTCGACAGTTTAATTAATTAAAAAAAACTTTGTGTGTGTTTACAGAATAAGGTTGACAAACGAGCATTACCATCAGGTGGATTTGTAAGGTTGACAAATCCACCTGATGGTAAGTGGGTGCTGCGGCCCATATATAAGTATCATAGTTTCTTTATTCTATCTACCTTAACGACACGACCTTTTTTACTGGAAACGATGGATTCCAGCCTAGTTATCAGGAGTGACAACGCATCTGTGTTTTGATTCTTAATCGAGGATGGATGTAGATGTCTACGGGCCAGCCAGGCCAGCATCCGCTTACCATCACGTGGACTGTGTGCTCATTAATAGTCAGCCTTATCCTATAAAAAAACATAGAGAGATGATTTTTTTACCTTTACTTACCTTTCTAATAAATTATAACAAATACTAAAGGATGTAAAATAATTATCGATTCACGTATTAATTTCAAATATATATACTTAAAAAATGCTTTGTGGCATTCCTTGAGGGAGAGGCCTATGTTCAGCAGTGGACTTGTGAAGAGCTGTAATGATGATGATGATATAAACAAAAGAAAACATTTTAATTTGTCCATGCATAAAACGAAACGCACCCAAAGTATTCCCGGTATTCCTAGCAACAATTAAAAGTAAAAAGTGCATTTAAAAAAAAATAAAACAGTGAACGGCCAACGCATGAATATTCATTGAAAATAGTTAAGTCATTGAGATCACTATCGTGCATCGGCTCCGGCCATCAATTAAACACCTTTAAGTCTTAAAATATATTCTCAAACTCGAAAGCGGCTTAGTGAGCTAAAAAAATATTTGACAGCGCCTCTCAGACGCTTTGTGGTAAGAGCTATTAAGTTAATGTACAACAGGACAAGAACGCATTTATATAAAAAATAATCCAAAAATAAATCATCGAAATGTTTAAGACGCTCTGCTCTAGCTTCTCGCCTTTAATCTCTTATGAGGATAGAACGTATATTAAACGTAGGATCAATTACGTTATAGAAATTACAAATTAAAAAAATCACTTAGTTATATGATTGCTTATATTAACGCGAATACTACACATGGAATCAAACTAGTTTTACGGATTTTATCGCGTTTAATTTTAACTTTTTTTAATACCCGACGTTTACTTTATAGCACCCATGGTCACCATGAAACGTCGGGAATAACAAAAGTTAATATTAAACGTGATAATATCCGTAAAACTTGCTTGTTTTATTCCAAGCACATAGGTAGTAGCGTTCTCAGCTGAATTATATGTTGACTGGTAGAGAACGCCTTAAGGCGTTGAGTCCGCCTTTGTACATTTTTGTGAAGTTTAAATAAACAAATAAAGTAGGCAATAAGTTTTACTTGCACAAATCTAAGATGTTTTTAAAGTATACGCCTTTGGCACAAATAGCCCTGATATAAGTGTTATTTTTTAAGTACATTCTTGAGGAAAAACACGACGGACGACAACTTGTTCATTAGGATTTTGTTATGAAGCAATTTGTAGTAAATTTTATACATTAAATAAATTAAAACTTTTTTTAAATAGCTGTCAACAAGTCATTAAAACATTATATTAAATAATTTCGATATTAATTAATTGTTTAATCGATTCATAAATTAATAATTATGGAATCGAAAAAAAGTTCCCGCCAAATTAACTATCTGTATTCGATAACGTAATAAAAAAAATCAAGAACAGATAACATAATATTCTAACCGTGCCGTGTCGTCTTTTCAAATCACGACGGCGGAAAGATATATTCCAAGCGTTTACTACACAAAAATTTAATACGTTTATACAGACAGTTACACTAATTTTGTAAACATTAAACTCATTCTAACCTAAAACCAACATACAAACGGTCACACCCACTTGTATAAACGCTAATAAAGCACAGTTTTAGTAACAATCCAAATGTTTTCCTCTCGTTCTCTAATTCAGGCATTGTTAATAACTCTATGAATATACATGAGAGTTTACTGCGCTTTGTTTATTAGCGTCGAAGTAAAAAATGTGTGGCGCGCTGCTAAATGACGCCCGAGCGCTCGAGGTGAAAAGGTTACAGTCGATCCGCTTGGCATCACTCGCGGGTTCCTTTCTAAGCATACATATATTATGTACATATTACTTAATGTTTCTTTTGCAGCGTCCTATAACAGGGTTTTCTGATGGATTGTTTCATTACATACTTAATATCTTAGTTACACATAGGTGTAATAAAGAATTTTATTCTATTTTTAATGAAGAACAACGTACAAATAGCGAATGTTAATAATTAACCGCTAACGTTAACACCATATAAGACGTATAAACTATATATCTTATATAGGTATAATATACATAATATTATCAAATATTAGTATGTAATATATTAGATCCACATCGAAAGCATGTTTTAAGGTACTCCAAACGAAATTACATTTTGTAATCATACCTAATATAACAAAGTTTAGGAACAACAAAATTTTAAATAAAAAAATAATGAAAAAAATAATATATTAATCTAATCATATTTATTTTCACTTTTAAATCATATGTAAAGAATTAAACTAATCAAAAGACCTCATTATATTAAAATATTTTTTTTTATTGCGGAATTGGCCATAAAATGAGAGAACCTAGTTCAGGACTGATATAAATCATTTTAAAAATAATTTAAGTAAAATTATAAATGGAAGGTATACATGCACTTTTTTAAGCTATATCGCTGTTTAAAGTTGTTGAAAACGGCCCTATTTTTAACAGACTTCAATAAAATGAGGAGGTACTCAATTCGTCTGTATTTTTTAAGTATGTTCACTGAACTTTTTTCTACGTGAACTGATTTTAATGATTCTTTTTTTTTTGAAAGCTGGTGCTTCTCATGTAGTTTCATATAAATTTCTTATAAGTTTTAGAGTTATGCTTAATAATGCGTATTTAATGGACTTCGAGTACATTGAAGATCTTCACAATTTATTTATATTGAAGTCGTTTGTATAAAACTTTTAATTTTACCACTTGTCCATCACAGTAATCGTTCGAATAAAATATACGTAATTAGAGATAGCAAAAATTAATTGCACGTGACTGTACACTGAGCCTACAACGTTTTGATTTATTCGTTGTGAAGTATACGTAGCCAAAACGTTTTCAGTGATATGCTATTAAGCGTTGTATGTCCCATTAAATTGAATCGCTGTGCGGTCACTAACTTGTTCGCAGATTAAATCACTGAAGCATTACGTGAAAACTAAATGCTCGCACAAGAAGCCCGCAATGTGCATTAGGTCGCTTAACGTTACTATGTTTCTAGGACAAAAATGAGATAGAAGCGATATTTTCCACTAACTAGATAATTCCTTTACAAAAAACAATGTGAGTAGAGGATTTACATGGTTCGTTACTTACAAAAATGGCCGCGGGCTTAAAACCCGCAATAAACAAGTGTTTGTACGAGCTTAGAAATA